GGGTGGGGGTGGGGGTTGGCTCTGCAGCCTTCTTACTTTGTTTCTGGTTTTGCTAGCAGGTTGTTGCTGGCCTATAAAATGAGTGGGGAAGGTCTCTGCTTGTTTTTCTTGGTGGAGTTTGAGACTTGGTATCCTTTAAGTATTTGGTAACATTTAAAATGAAAGCCCCATCTGGATGGGGCTTTTCTTTATAGAAAGTTTTTTGATTACTAATGCAGCCCCATCTTGGGTTTTTCTTCTTTTTTTTGGCGTCAGTTTCTGGCAAGTGTTTATCAGTATGACATCTGATATTGTCATACCGTTGTCCGTGTTATTCAATCTTTTTACTTCTGTAAAATCAGTAATTATACTTTTGTTCTTGATTTTAGTGATTTGAGTCTTATATTTTCCTTGGCCATTCTAATACTTTATGAATTTGTTGATGTTTCCAAAGAACTTTGGTTTCACTGATTTTTCTTAATTGTGTTTCTGTTGTCTTTTGTTTCTGCTTTAACTTCTGTTTTCTTTCCTCTGCTTGCTTTCTTTTTTATTTGTACCTAAGGAAGGCTAAATTATGGACTTCAAAGCTTTCATCTTTTATAGCTTAGTCACATCTATAAATTTCCCTCTAATATTTCAGCTGCATCCCAGCTGAAATTCATTTCAGTGTTTTCTAATTTCCCTTGAGACTTTCTTCCTTTGACCCTTTTGCTATTTAGGAGTGTGCCCGTTAGTTTTTTTTATTATTTTTTAAAGACTTATTTACAGAGCTGGGGTACAGGCCAGAGGTGCAGGAAGGTGAGAGGCTTCACCAGAGACAGAGTGGGGAGCAGAACAGGCGGATCAAGGAAGTACACTGCTGAGGGTCACTTCTGGGGTCACACTGAAGTGGCTGCAGCCAGCTTGCAGTGCTGTGCTTTTACCCACTGCGCCACCAGGGAGGGCCTGTGCCCTGCGTTACTGAATTCTGATTTAATTACATTGTTGGACAACAACATTTGTATGATTTCTATGCTTTTAAGTTTCCTGGGGTTTCTTGCCCTAATGTCACTCTTTCCTGGAGAAGTTTTTTTATATATTTATTTTCTGACACCAGTATTAATGGCTCTGACTCCTCCCCTCAGCCCTGTAGTGCCCCTACCTCAGTAGCACCCATGGTCCATCACCATAGTCCCTTGGCTCTGCCTTCCCGGCTTTGACCCCTCCCCCTCCTCTCCCTTCCTGTTTAGCTCAGGTCTGTGATCAGCTTCCCAGTTTTGTCTTTCCCAAATCCTTTGTTTGGTTTCTCTGTATCCCATATACAGCAAAATCATCACATATGTATTGTTTTACTTTTGACTGACTTTGCCTAACATAACCCCTTCCAGCTCCATCCATGTTGCCACAAATAGCAAGGGTTTGTCTTTTTTGATCACTGTGTAGTATTCCATTGCATGCCTGCACCACATCTTGATGCGTTCATCTGTTGGGGGTTATGGGTTGTTTCCTGTCAGAGACCAGCTCCAACTATTGAGGTGTCTAGAGGCAAGACAGGCAGGACCCTAAGGTGGGAAGGCGTCGGCAAGTGGAGATTCCTAAAAAAGGGGGAAAGGGAGAAAAAAGGGGAAAGGGGGGTGAGGAAGACACAGAAGTCCGAGTTAGGTGCAAGTCTTCCTGCTCTGCCTTCAGCAGAGGTTTATTTTATACATTAGGAGCAAGCAGTGGGATGACATCAGCACA